TTTTCAATGTATTGCTTAAAACAATGATCCATCAAATATAGACAGACATGTCTGGCACATTCCATTCATCAGAATAGTTTCAAAACGTTTTAAAAATCGCGGGGATAATTTTCATAGGACAAAGACAATCATGAACAGTCTTGGACACGAAATGTGAAAACGCAAGAAAATTCACGTTAATCTTGCCGTTTGATCGACAATTAAATTCGTTTCACTTTAATAAAATTCATAATGGCGAGCTGGCGAATAGCTTTGATTCCATATTCATATAGAAAACGCTATGAAATTTCCTCTATCTATTTAATTAACCAGCTTGTTTCTAGTTCTAATTCAACCATCAAGATATTCTATCTCTATACGAGATCAAATCTCGCTTTTTGATTTAAAACTCGGATTTTCAAGAAAGGGAGAAATACATTCAGCGGTGGAAGGAATACGCCGAGATTGTATATTAATCTCGCAAATAGCAGTACTGGTTGATATCAAAAGACTCACAGACATTTTACTCACCTTGATTCTCAGAATTATTAGTTATTTTAATTCTCATTCGGGAATTATTTTTAAGAAGCGAAAATGAAATTAAAGTAGAGTTTAGACCGGAAAAGAATAACACGAAATTAGCGCTGGAAAACTTCACTATCTCACTATCACAGTTTGTCGTTCGAGACACTTAATAATAATCTCTCTTCTTCTCTCACGTAATGGAATCCCACTGATTCTCTCTTCTCTCCTCATTAATAACAACTTCTCTTATTTGAAGTAACAGAAATCTACGTTTTCAAACAGACGGATTGAATGGATTGATAATTCAATCAAACGCTAGTTTCAAAATTCGTTTGAAATAAACGAAGTTCATACATATCGATTCATCAAACCTTTGCAAACAATCTTCGCTTCAACGAGGGACGTAGATTCCTTCCACTAATTACGCGAGCGTTGTTACCAACGTCGCGTCTCGCATACGCGAGAATTCACCCTTTAGTCGCGCGAACCAGCCAGCTACCTCAACCAACCCTTGGTTGATCGCAGGGTAGTCGCCTTTGAAGCGTCGACGTTCATTTGCAGAACAACGCGAGCGTGCTCGCGCTACGGGATTAATCAGTTTGCCGTTTCCGACGAACTTTTATTCGATGCACGGTGCACGCTCGTTGCTTGGGCTCGGTTTTCCGCGGCTGCTGCCATTTCACGAGCAATTAAGCAGCTGCCACTCGATGGTTAATCCCTTATGATCGTGTTTCGAATCGGCTGGCCGTGAGACCGTGCCCGTTTTATTTTCGCATGGATCGCGGACAGAGTGGGGATTCTGGTCGCCCGCTCGCTCGCGTTGGCTAACGTGATGGATCGTTTCATAGATCGGTGATTAAGGCGCATAGAGGCGGTGTTGGTTTTACACGATTAGGAGAGAACGATCCGATTGGTCCTTTCCCCAACCCCGTCCCTCGAATTGTCGATTTCGTTTGCACTGTCAAAGCCAATGTTTGTAAAAAAAATTTGTGTTGCTCACCGAGATTGGTAACCATGCTGCTGAAACTTTGTACGCGTTGTACAAATGGCCAGGAAATTTAATCTTGTTAATTTTTAAGATATATACATCGATATTAAATGATTGTCTCGAGTACATTTGTGACACGAGACTTTGATTTTAAATCTTTTTTAATCTGTATCAAAGAGATCTGATAAAGTTGATTATTCTATTATATATGTATAATATTTCTGACGTGATTTAAAAACATATATATATATATATATATATATATATATATATATATATATATAT